TTAAGTTCCTTCAAATTTAGAGATTTTTGTAATACAAGAAAAGGAAAGCATAATTGGGTTTTTAAATTTACAAAACTAGTCGCTTTTTGAGAAGTACAAAAGTATTTTTAGATTTTAGTTAATTTTTCTACAGTATTTGAATTTGTGATCTAAATATGAGTGACAAGAAGTCCGAAAATGATTGATCGCACATATACACGCTTAAATTGAAAATTTAATATTTCGTTCATAGTCATTTTATTAATCATGTCCAATTAGTTAAAATTTTATTCCTTTAATAAAATCTTTTATATATTTATTTTCAAAAAAAAGAAAACTTTTATATCTAATAACAGGTGTGTAGTAAAGATTATTAAATGAGACGATGAATACTCATAAAAGGGTTTAACGCTTTGTTTTTTAGAAAAATTGAAAATAAAAAAATAAAAAAAACTTGTTTATGCTCCTAGAAGCATGTTAGGTTAACTTAAATTCTTTTACGTGAAATAAAAAATAAAAATTATGACATGATTCTTTCTTAAGGAAAACATATCATTGGGTACATATACGGAAGCATCTACAGTGGTTATAGGTCAGATCTCCGATTCGACTCCGAAACAAGATTCGCCACAGGATAGCCTCACAATCTCTAGTCACAAACATGATTTTCATGCTCTAAGTCATGATCCTCCACGATCACGATCATCAATGTGTCCTTGATTACTCACGGGTGTGGTTATTACAAAGGCAGAACCCGAACAACTAGGACAAATCCACAACTTAAGAATCTACGGAAGACTAGGTGAGAAAGAGAGAGAGAGAGAGAGAGAGAGAAAAATTGATAGAGATTCGACATAATTTTATCACGCTTTTTCTCTTTTTCGGTTTGTGCCATGCTATCTAGCTATTTATAACGTGTACCTATTATAAAAGGAGCAAACACAAAATATGAAAAAGATCTCCCTTATTTTTATCACAGAGTAGATTACTTGATTACTCAATCTGTCAAGATATTAGAAATATACCATAATATTTCTAATAAGATACTTTCCTTTTTCATATCCGTAGATTTTATTCCAAATAAAATCATAGCATTAATTTTTACGCTATGCACCATTATAAGCGCCTAAAAATCAAACACTTTCTAAGTTATTTATGCTAGCAATCCTCCAATGCACCTTGTCTATGGTAGCTTTGGGTGGGAATATAACTATAGAAATAATAATTTCAGAAATTGCAATAAGTAGTTTTCTAAAAATATTTACATATCATATGTTTTCTTTACCAAACAAAACACTTGTTGTATTTTTACACTAGTCATAAAAAATGAAATACTTTTACAATTTTTTTTTAGAGATTTTCTGACACGTCTGATGTATCGATAAATCAAGTTTTTTTAATTATTAAATCTATATATTTTTTAACTTTTACGTGATTTATACAAATCTATCGGAGATACGTCAACGTACAGAAAAAGTTACTTTTTTTTTCTTCTTTTTAATTGGGCTTTTTTGTGTGAAACCCCCTTAAACTTTATGTATTTAGCGGTTGGGTCCTTGAACTAAAAATTTTTATAATCAACCCCTTAAACTTTAAAATCTTTGTATTGGTAGTCCAATTGATGATGGTGTTAGGTCTTTTAATAGAATGACCCACGTGCTAGTCACGTGAATCTCTCCATAGGCACTTGGCTGTCTTATTTCCTCAACAAAATACACTTCTTGAAAAATAAACTAATAAAAAAAATAATGAGATTACAGGAGGAAGGTGAAAGAGGGCTTCCGCCGAAGGAAATCGCCGGCGGAGAAAATCGCCGTTGCAGCAATACTGTCACCCCCTTGCGCCGCCCGCTGCTGCCGTGGCAAGCCCCCTTGGTGACCTGAAAACCCAAATCCGGAACCGAAAGCCCTAAATTCGTCTCCTCCTCATTAGCAATCCCCATTCGGAAAAAAAAAAAGAATCCAGATCCGTATGCCGTCGCCTAGCCTAGCCCCAATTTTTTTTTTGGACGGCGCGGAAGCGTTCTTGGCCTGCGGTGTCCCAAAATCTGAGCCTTGATCTCTTTGCTGTTGATTTCCATGCTCTGAGTTTGGAACTCCACTCCAATCGTGGCCTTGGATTTCCTCTTGCCACTCGTCCTTCGATGATGACATGCCCTTTTCTTGATTATGTGAACTTTATTTACTCTTTTCAATAATTTTCTTTTTCTGAGTGAAAGGTAGATTCAAAATAAAAGAGAGAGTTTTTTGTGCGGTGAGGGGGAATGAGAAGATAGTAAGGGAGATGGAGAAAGATGTGCGGTGATGGCTGTTTTTTGTTTTTTGTTTTTTTTTATTATTATTATTTTTTGATTAATTCCTTATTTGAATAAGAAAAAGACCATCAATGTCCTTATTAAAAACTCACGTGCAATTCACATGCTAAATATTGTCCAAACTCGTTTGATATTAAGCGGGGGTTATCAATTAGACCACTAATACAACAATTTCAAAGTTCAAGAGGTTGATTACAAAAAATTTTAGTTTATGAATTAATCTGCCAAACACGTAAAGTACATGAAGTTTTCATGCAAAAAAGCCTTTCTTTGAATAAGAAAAAGACCTCCTATGTCTTTATCAAAAACTCACATGCAATTCACATGCTAAATATTGTCTAAAACCGTTTGATATTTAACGGGGGTTATTAATTCGACCACTAATACAACAATTTTAAAATTTAGGAGGTTGATTATAAAAATTTTTAGTTTAGAGATTAATCCATCAAACACGTAAAGTTTAAGGGGCTTTCATGTATGTTTTTTATAAAAAAAAAAAAAAAAAAAAAAAAAAAAAAAAAAAAAAATTTAAACGTATACTTTTTCTATTTACTTTTGATGGTTAAAAACTATTTCGTCGAAGTTTTGAAAGACCATAATTAATCTCACATAAAAAACTAACTAAGCAAACACAAATCATTTTCAAAAGGAGAGTCAACCTTGATCTTCAATTATTTTTTATTACTTTTATTCTTCTCCTCTCTCTTTGCTTTTGAGTTATTCTAGGAATTACATGCGTTTTGATCATGCAAAAGAGCCAAACCATAACATAGTAAAATCTCTATTTATCAACGAAGTCGTTATTAACTATATTATATATTGGTCACTTTAATGAAGTCACATTAAGGATTCGTCATCCAATCAAACTTCAGGGGAAAAAAAACTCTAGTAAATAAAGAGAAAACTATCCTAAATGAGAAAAAAAAAAAAAAAAAAAAAAAAAAAAAAGAAAGAAAGAATAAGGGAGCGTGAACAAACCAAAATTTTTAGAGACAATAAGGGAAATATCCATCAAATAGGTACCCCAATCAATTTCTAAACTCTAGAAATTAGCTGATTGATTTCTAACATTTTACAATTAAAATAATAAAAATAGTTAAATTAAACATTTTTAAAATTCTAAAGTTACCATCAATGGTCCATTGATAAAATATAAGATATGTCAGGGGTCTCCAACCGGTTGGCCATAACTTGATAAATTACACTAGCCACCAGCGGGTCTCCTGTTATAATTTAATAGGTTATGATTCATAACTTGACAGATTACACTAGCCACTAACCATAATCTATCAAGTTATGATTCATAACCTAACAGATTATGCTCAGGTTATTATCCATAACTTGACAGATTACTTTGACCGTTGGTTGCCGGGATTGGCCATAGTCTAGTCACCAGCTCCAGCCATAGTCTGACAGGTTATGATTTATAAATTACCAATTTATGCTTTATAACCTGACGAATTATGTTTCACAATCTGTCAATTTATGTGATTATAATCCATAATTTTCTAATTTATGATCCATAAACTGTCAGATTATGTTCATAACCTAACAAATTATGCTTCATAATATGTTAGATTATTAAGCATAATCTGCCACATTATGCTCTTTTTTTTTTTCAACAAATATCAGTTGATTTATAACAACAATAATCAAATTGAAAAATGCAAACGTAAAAGAAATATTAGCTATCAAAAACACAAAAACAAAAAAAAAATAATACAGAAACAACAAATCAAATCTCCAAAATAAATCTTAGAGCTCAAAATCTTATATGACATTTGAAATCCAATGCTGACAAAAATCTTAGGCCTAATTTGGTATTGCTGTGAATTTTTTTTTTTTAAAAGCTTTTAGTTGTGCTGCAGGAAAAAATAACTGTTACATTATACATCTGAATGTTTAGTAAACTATAATTATACTATGTATGCTAGTTCTAAAATCAGTGTAATAACATTTAATAAATTATGAAGTTGAATTACTATAACTAGTTAAAATAACCAAAATAAACATAGTATGAAACTTAAATATATATATAATTATTTTTGATATTTAAAAATACTTATTTAATTTTAAAAACATAATAATATGATTCTAAATTTTCTAACAATAAATTTATGATAATTAATTCTTTTTTTTTTTCATTTTTCATTCACAATATATTTACAACAAAGGAAGCATTAGTGAGTAATCAACACGTCTGTTTAGTTCACTGATTTAAATTTTTAATTCGATTTGAAATGTGACTATATGAGAGCTTTTACTCTAGCAAAAAATAAATAAATAAATAAATGTAACTGTTTCTGAGAACTTTTTACTGTAACAAAACTCGAATTCTAAACTCAAATCGGTAAAATAAACGAAACCAACATATACAATAAAAATGTACATATACAACATTTAAGAAGATGATCCTAACCCATGCTCAAACTTAAGCCAGTTGAGCTTCAACTTAAGTTGTTTCAAAGCCATAAATGTTCAAATAAGAATAAATGTTGCTTAAATTGAGAAGCCCACCATTAAACTGACAAATTAAGACTCCGTTCATTTCACCGATTTGAATTTTACTACAGTAAAAAGCTTAAAAACAGTCACATCTAATTTTTTTACTACAGTAAAAAATTCTCACATAAAATCACATATAAAGTCGAATTAAAAACTCGAATCAACGAACTAAACGGATCCTAAAATGATCCATTTATCAAAAACAATTTTCTGACCATCAAATCTCCCCAAATCTAATTGAATGCATGGACCAACTCGTCCAACTAGCCAAAATAAAACAAAAGGCTTCGACATTTAAGAACTCAAAAATTGATTCTAGGAGTTCTGATGGACTCTCCAAACTCCATTTCCATGGTAGAGTAGGGATCTTTTCTGGGCGCTGTACTTTGTTCTTCAATCACTTCAGTTCTTCCCGCAACACCTATTACCAGAAGAAACAGAGTACACAGATTAAATAGAAGATTTAAGATTAATCTAAGACATTGGATAATCAACTTAAAACCAAGCATTGAACGACACTAATAAAAGATGTGATCCTGATATTCCGTCTCATGCACGTACTAAAGAATGCCTTCTAGTTCATGATTTATTTAAATCTTAAAAAATCTTTCTGTAAAGGTCGGAAACAGGGAATACCTTTTGTATCTCTTATTGGAACCACATGGGCAAAGCGCATTCTTACTTATTTGTCCACTCTTGGCCAAATTAGACCTAGCAAGATCCAATGGTGTAGAGCCCATCAGTTTTTGCACCTGAAGAAAGTAAATCGCAAACACAAATGAGAACAACTAGATTAGTGAATTTGTCACGTTTCATTTCCAATGAAGTACCAAAGAAAAAGTGTCAATCTCTACAAAAATTGATAGACATTAGTATGTTCTATAATCTAAGCCAAAATACATGTTTAAGACAATCTCCAATCTAAATGCTAATGTGAATGCTTAATTTGGCGCCAAAAAAACATGTAAAAATACCAACTCCAATCCATAATACTAGTTTAGATGTTATATCTAATTTTTGTCACAAATTTTGAGTTTTGAAACTTGTAAAAGGATAATTTTAATAACAGTAAAATGGTAATGTTGTAAACTTGTAATGATAGAGTGAAGAATCAACATATCAATTACTAAACAACCAAATGCCAAATTTGAGCAAGTAAAGCATTGCGGGAAAATGGTGGTGTCAAATTTTGGCACTTGACATTCAATTGAAGATGCTCTGAATGTTTTTATTGACCAAATAAGTAAGGAGTAGTCCAAATACAGAAGTTAAAAGGCATGATACCTCAGCAAGACTCTTGGGCATTGGTTTTCCTTCTTTCTTCAGATTTTCTATCTTCTTTTGTGCTTCTTTGGCCCACGTAAACTTGGCCAGAGCATTCTCAACATCGGCAATCGTGCAATTACAATTCTTTGCTGCTTCTTGCTTGTGATTGCTTTGGAGATTCTACAAAACATTAAAATCTAAAAAACTATCAACAAATGACAAAAAAAATAAAAACCCATTAAATTAGAGTAAAAAAATACACCTCTCCAGTGGCATCAAAGCCTCCAAGATATCGAATTATAGCTTCTTGTTTCTCAAAGGCATCCGAAAATGTCGCTTCACTGCTTCTACCCACCATATATTGCTTGAAAGATCCTACTCTTCTCGCGTTCTTCAATTCATCCGCAAAGCCTATAATTAATCAACTAAATAATTAAAAAAAAAAATAACAACACTAATTGGTAATTGCCCACAAAAAAAAAAAAAAAAAAAAAAAAAAAAACTACAAAATTGAAGGAACTAATCCTCAAATGCAGCATTTTTCTTCTGAAAATTTAATGGGTATGAGCTAAAATGACAGAACAGTGACAAATAAACCTACGGAGAAGGGTGAAAGACTCGGAGGTGATTTGGGGTCCTTCATCGGAGGCCTTTTCGCTGGTGAATACTCCTTTGATCTTGTCCATCCATGAGTTTTGTAGAGGGGTTGTGGAGGAGATCCAACGGTGCTGTGAAGGAACCAAAGAGAAGATAAAGCTGGAGTTTTTCTTGTATAAAGTGTAGCCAAGGATTCTTGAATAATGCATATTCTCGGACTTCCTTTCCGATCACAAAAATGTTAATATGCTCCTCCAATCAATTGGGTAGCAGAGTGAGAAGAGAGAGAAACGGGGAGAGAGCACGAAGAGAGAGCAAAGAGGGAGACGAGAGAGCTCAAGAGAGAAGAGAGAACATGACCGCTAAGAGCAAAAAAAATTTGGGTCTGGAATTCTTTTCATTCAGCATGGGTAAATATCGGAAATAACAAAAGTTTCATTAAAGGACTCCCTTAGATTGCCGCACAATCTAGAATCAGAAACAGTCCAAAGGCAGCTTCTGATTTTGGCTTCAAATTCTCCCCAAATTCTTTCAGAAGCACTTTTTTACGTTTTTACCAAATGCAAAAAAAACCTTTGGCTGGATAGACAATTGATTTTGGGCTCCCAAAATCCCTACCAAACACACCCTTAGTTTGTTTTGAAGATTTGATCTCACAAAAATCAACTATTGAACAAATCTTAGTAATAAAAATTAGCCACTGAATCTTGGTTTGTTGTCAAAGGCTCCAAATCAACCATTGAACAAATGGGAAAGAGGATATCATCTCTAAGCGAGTGCCTGAGGAAATTCCGGATACCACCATTTAGTAACAAACCATTAACAGAAACCAAACCAAATTTAAACAATAGTAAAAATAAAGTCGAGGGATATATCCTACAAATTCACATTCCAAAATCAACAAGAAACACAAAATTATCAAATTATACCAACGAAATCTAAACGAAGCCATAAGCAGTAAATTATCGAAAAAAAACATAAAACCATATTGATACATAAATCCAAAACTGACTTTGATGCTATGTCCATTACAGGTAAGTTATGGAAAGTGCTATGTCCCACAGGCCTAGTCACTTACTTAACTACCCAGCAAGGAGAAAATCAGGAAAAGAACACCAACAAGCAAACATGAAAAAGTATATTCTCTAATAAAACTGACTTTGAAATTACAACTAATTTCCTAAAAGCAAAATGTTATAAATTCCTCCAAGCAAAGTAAGAATAATTAATTTCTTACTTCATTTTTATCAAAAAGAGAAACAAACACATGAATATGGTAGATTAATATTCACACAAAAACATGAACCAGCATGTAGTAAAAAAAATACAAACGCATTTAAATTTGCAGACTTAATGAAAGTAACAAACTACTGTTTCTCTTCGATTTTCTTGAAGTAACAAAAAAAAAAACGATCAAAGAAATAACTAGAAACGCAAACTAAACAATAGCGCATTAGTATAATTGTTCTCCATTCTCCAACAGAATTTTGATCTCCTTAGAAGAAATGATCAAGTTTTACTGATCAAAAGCCAAAAACTGGAAACAGTTTCAACTACCCCAAACCCATAAACAAACAAACAAACAAACAAAAAGTGAGTACCAAAATTCGATTAAGGGTAGAGACAAAAAGGAGAAAGCCAACTCCATGTTTCGGTTGAGCAAAAGCAAAAGCATAATAATGCTTCCTTAGATCAAAGAGGTAAAAAATATAACCTTAACCATTCCAAAATCAGATAATTGATTAATAATACCAACAACATTACAAATCAACAAACGCCAATTCGAAACCCTAAAACCCTATCAAAAACAAATCAATGAATAGATAAATAAATAAATAAATAAGAAAAGAGGACCTGATTGCAGGAGACGAAAACGAGCATGCCGCCGGAGGGGCCAAAGGGCTGGCAATCGACGGTGCTGATATTATGCTTGCACTGGTCGAAGGGAAGGGCAGTGAACTTGCCAACGAGATCCCTTGATCTTCTGGCCCTAGGTCTGCACTTCGTCGGCGAAGCGAACGAAAACGACGACCATGACGATGGGCATCCGTCGCATCAGCGGCGTGGGGAGAAATCCACGTTGCGTGAGACAGATCTATCCGTCACAGATATAGTGGCTCGTCAGAGGATGCTCGTCGCGGACGGAGCTTCTATGTCGAGAGAAGAAAGGAGGACGAGATGGAGGTTGTCGGTGCGGATCTAATTAGATCCAGCGACGGAGACGAAGAAAATGAGGACGGCGACGGACTGAGAGAGAGAGAGAGAGAGAGAGGAGGGGGCGGATAGAGGGAGACGTGGATGTTAGAGAGAGAATGCGAGAGGCAAAAATTACAACCCTAGTAAAATCAGGGATAAAATGGTCATTTTGAAAATGTTAAAAACAGTTTTTATTTTTTTAAAAAACTCAAATGAAAAGGGTAGAAATCCTAATTCAGGTGATTTGAAGGTAAAATGCACAATTTTCTTAATTTTTTAACTAAAATTATAAGGAAATAATTTTTGTACCTTAATTTGTCTATTTGTAATTTGGTCTAAACTAAAATTGTAATATAGTTAAATTTAAGGATTAATAACAAAAATTTATCCTCAACTATACCTCTTATAACATTTATCTCTGATTTTTAAAATGTAATATTCGTTTTTCTTGAATAATAAGACATTAACAAAATTACCCCTCCATTAATCAATCTAAGATTTTACATGTGTCACATTTATAATAATTGTTGTTAAACAATTTTGAACACAATTACTATTTTACTCACACACTCTAATATTTTTATTCAAACTTATATGTAATATTTAGTAAAATTAAAAAAAGATAAATCTTTTTCACTCCCTAATTACTCAACGAATCCCCACCTCACAATTATAATAGTTCTTTTTTTTTTTGGTTGAAAATTTCCTATTTCTCTTTGGTTACTTTTAACGTAAAAAAATATTTAAAAAAAATTCATAAATTTTATTATTCCACCATTAAAAAATTCATAAAATTTTTAGCTTATATTTAGTCATATGTTTCATAATTAAAAGTTCAATTTTAAATTAGTTTATAAATCATAGAATTATGAAAATACTCTTAAAGTAATAAATTAAATGTCAATTATCGTTAAAAATCTTATGAAGGGACATTTTTGTTAACGTTTCATTGTTTATAGAGAATGAGTATTATGTTTTAAAAATTGAATGACAAAGTGTTACAAAGAGTGCAGTTCAGAGAGAATTTTTGTAAGTTTAAAGCTTAAATTCTTATGAATTTATGTCGTAGTATAGTTTTTGGATTTATTTGAGATATTAAGTTTGAATAATACTATATTTAAGAGTCAAAATGAATAATACTTGAGTGGGGGAGACAAAAAGAAAAATGTCAAAAATTTTAAGATTGGGCCAAATTCTAAGAGGAGCCCTTGGGCGCAAGAGGACACCAAGACAGCTCTACTATTTCTAGGGGTCCAAGGCAGCTCCGCCTTTGATCGTAATAACATGTTTGAACCTTAAAAGAAAGAAAAGATGTGATTATATTAACATGTTTGGACCTTAATTACTTGGATCTTATTTTCTACTCCTACAAAATTAAACGTTGAAGTTATGTAGAGCAGAGTCATACATTATGGTTGGTATTTACAAGAGAGGATGTTGTATGGCAATACACAAATGTGAACTCTAGGTACAGTAGGCAAAAAAATTCCCGGAAATTTTTGAAAATTTTGATCGACATTTCAAAAATATGAAAATTTTTGAATTTTTTTTATAGATACTGATTTCAGATTTCCCAACCTCCTCTACTTCTTTGATTGAATTGTCGTCCATGATATATCCGTAATTGTGTCCATGAATATTTGAGAAATTCACGTAAAGAAATATAAGAAAAAATATATTTTTGAAAAACTAATATAAAAGTATCAAAAGCTACTAGTTAATTTCCTTAAGCTTCGTTTGGTTGGAGGAATAGAGATAAAGAATGAAAGAGAGAGTTGAAGAGACAAAGAATGTGAGAGATATAAAAGATTAGAATAATCTCTGATGTTGTTTGATAAAAGATATTGAATTAAAAAGATGAATGAATGAATATATGTTTAATTACTAGATTTTTTTTATCAATTCAAATAACGATTTTAAAAAATAAAATGATCTTTTCAAATTTTTAGCAAGTGGATTGTATGAATCTCTCAAGAGATGCAAAATGGTAGGTCCAGGTGGATTAAATCCCCTTCCACCTCTTCTCTCCTTTTCTCTCTCCTTCCAACCAAACAAAAGATTTGGACTCTCCCTCTATCTCTCTCCCTCCACCCACCTCTCTCTCTCAAACCAAAGTTACTAATTAATTAATTAATTAAATGAATCGACATCTATCATTGTCGATGAACTGAATCCAACTTGATGATACCTGAATATATTTTTTTATACATTTAATATATTTTTGGGCAGTCTGAATATTTAATATATTTTTTTATATTTTGTTTTATTTTTTTATAATATTGTGTATATATATTATATATAATATTGTTTATTAATTGTATTTGTATATAAATAATTATTAAGTTATTTATTGTAAAAATTATATAAAAACTTTTATTAAGATTAAAATCAACACATATTATTAAAACAAATACTATTAAAAAAATTTTGGACGGGCTTCAGACAATGAGTTATCCACAGCGGCGGCCTTGTTTTTGCTTCATTTTCGTGTTGTCCGAACCCGAACCCAGCCTAAGATTTAGATGGACGGATTTAGGGCCCTACCCGCTGAGCCCAAAAATTTGCAGGATTCAGGTCTTCCAGCACTAATCAAGGACAACTGAAGCAATCTATAAATATTCCTCATATTCTTACCCCACGTAACAAAACGACGTAGATTGAATCGAAGTTGAAGATGGCTAAGAGTCGTTTCAAATTCATTTATTTGCTGGCGTGTAACTTCATCTTCTGTCTTCTTTTCGCATTCCGAATTATACACGTTATTGTGTGATATGATATCAATTAGTATTTCTAAGTACATATTATGATGATTGTGTAATCATTTATGATGGTTTACATTTGAATATTTGCAATTAGTATTTCTAAGGGCTAATTGTTTACTTGTTGTTCTTAAGATTCTTCTGTTGGATCCTTAATCCCACGTTGGACTTATATGTAAATAATTATGTGTTGCGGGCTGTCATATAAGGTTAAACCTAATTAAAAGTAATCTACTAAGGTTTATGTATTTTAGGCTTTAATGTATCTAATAGGGTGTTGGCCTTTAATGTGTAGAGACTTAAGGGTAATTTTTATTTTTATGATGGGCTAAAATAGAAATACCAAAAGATAACAGGGAAGTTATCAATATATGGCAGTTATGGTCCCCAGATCACACGTATCATTTCATTCATTCTGACATCTCATCATCAGAAAGAGTACAGAGAGAAAGTTAAAGGGTTCTCTAGGAAAACGTGTTGATCTGGAATACAAACTGCACGATTCTAGAGAGAAATCAAGCAATATGGATTCAGGTACGTTTCCGCTTACAGATTTATTAATTCTTGATGATCTAACATGAATGTTCTTGGCTTTTGGGTGATAGTTTTCACCAAATCTTTGATTTCTGACAGGTGGTATCAGAGCCTCTTCATGTTGAATCATTGAGAATTAAATTTATTATCGATTTATCGTGATATGTTTGGTGTTCTTGAATTTAACAATTTCAAGTTTGGAGTTGTTGAATTTTGAGAACAATTTTGGGCAATTTTAGATATAATTTTTCTTACGGTTATAGAATACTTTTCGGATAATTTTGGGAATTTGGGTTTATTGAACCCAAATCAATACTTTGGCCGGCGATAGCTTCTGCCGCCGCCAGCTCTGTGGGTAAGGCACGGCCTTTGGCCGCGCCAGCAAGGGACAGCGGCAGTAAGGAGAAAGGGCTAGCCAATGCTGCCGCATAAGGTTTAAAAAAAAAAAAATTAGACTTCATGCCATTTGGCCGGCGGCAGCCCCTAGGCACCGCCAGCATCAAGGAATACCGGTCACGGCCATGGACCGCGCCGGAGAAAGGCAGCCGCGACCATCTGGCCGCGGCATCTACAGAAGGCATCTACAGAGGCGGCCGTTCAGTCGCCTCTCTCACCCAGGGGTCGAAAGACCCTTAGGGTTTTCAGCACTCTGGGCTGCGGCCTAGAGTGCTTCAGGAACAGATGCACGGGCCCAATTGGGCCCGTGACATGAAACTAGGCTGTGGGCTTCGCCCACAGCCATATAAAAAAAAAAAAAAAAAAAGGAAGTAGGCCTTCTGGCCATTGTGGATCCACGGACCCAATTGGGCCCATAGCACACAGCCACAAAAAAAAGGGGCCTTTAGGCCTTTAGAATGGATGGGCCCGTGACTCACACAAGGGAAAGGGTTACCACAAATAACCCTGCGATATAAAGGGCAGAACTGGTTTAGGATCCGGGTTGGGTTTACCTGACCCGGTCCAGCCCCGACCCGGTCAACATTTGACCATTGACTTTGACAAAAAAAAAAATTTTTAAAGTGTTTTTTGGTTCTTTTAGTGCAATTTTAAATTCATATATTGGTATGGTTATATATATTTTGAGATGAATTAATTAAAGCAACATGTTGGTGACCTCTCTTGTGGACATTAATTTGTTTTGGAATATAAACAGTTGTGTATATATAACTTATGTGAATATTGATCGGCCCAAAGGAAGGTCAATATTTAACAGAATTACATGCGCACCTGTGGTAATAAACGCGTGATAATTATTCAGTTTTACATATGAACAATAAATCGGCCCAAAAGAAGATTTATTGTTTGGCGTGTTCTTATTATCAGTGATTGATTACTACACCAAGATATCACTTACAAGTTAACATTTTGTCCAAAGATGAAATGTTAATGGAGTGCCTGGTATCTTAAGATGGGGTTTACCTTTATTTGAATTTAATTTTTGTTTCGGGATTTATGTGAGCTTGTTTTGTTTGTTGTTCTCTGTTTAGCTATGACTCCTGCTAATATTACTGCCAACATCAACTCTATTCCTATGCTAAATGGCTCTAACTTTAAATCATGGCAAGAGAACCTATTGATAGTTCTCGGAGTCATAGATCTCGACCTTGCGTTAAGGGTTGATTCTCTTCCACCTCTTACGGATAAGAGTACCTCTGATGACAAGAGGGATATGGAAAGGTGGGAGAAATCAAATCGCATGTGTATGATGATCATGAAAAAGGCCATTCCGGAAGCATTCAGGGGCACAATGTCTGATAAGATTACTACGGCTAAGGAGTTCCTTGTGGACATTGAAAAGAGGTTTGTCAAGAA